GCCGAGTTATTCTAAAGAGGGGAATTGTCCATCTCATGCTAGTTCTTTCGTTGATAGGTAAGCACTTGCATAGTCTTGCTTATGCTGCTTCAGGTTACCAAAGAGTTCTTGAAGAAAATCGCAAGTTATACAACCAAGTACAGGACCTAAGAGGTAAATCATAGAGTTTTTTTTCTTAAATTTCAGTTTCTTATATACACTGATATAAGCTTTCCATGAAGATTAATAACTTTTAACTGTGTTTTACCAGGAAATATTAGAGTTTACTGCCGAGTGAGGCCCTTCTTGGCTGAACAACCTAATCGTTTGAGTACTGTTGAACACATAGATGAAGGAAATATTACAATTATCACTCCTGCAAAATATTGCAAAGAGGGACACAAATCTTTCACTTTCAACAAATTATTTGGTCCTTCTGCAACCCAAGGTAAGGTTTGCAACTTAGAAAGTGGTGATTCAGGATTTATTCAGTATTTTCATATTTGTGACATCTATTCAATATTGTTTCTTTTTTGCCCCATAGACGAGGTATTTGCAGACACCCGGCCTCTGATTCGGTCAGTTCTCGATGGTTACAATGTATGTATATTTGCTTACGGCCAAACAGGATCAGGGAAAACCTTTACTATGGTAAGAAAGAGATATGCACGTTTAGTTGCTCTCTCAATACCTTGTCCACTCCAATATGTATTGCAAAGTAGACTTTGGCCTATTTACTTAAACCTTTGTGGATTCATCTTGTTGCGAATTTAGACTGGACCAAGAGAGCTCACAGAGGAAAGCCAAGGTGTCAACTACAGGGCTTTGCATGACCTATTTCTTCTCTCAGAACAGAGGAAAGATACTTTTTTCTATGAAATTTCTGTTCAGATGCTTGAAATCTACAATGAGCAAGTCCGTGATCTCCTTGCAATCGATGGTGCTAACAGAAGATATCCTTTACATGCCAAATTATTTTGCTGTATCTTTATGTACAATTTAACACCTCGCATATTTCTCTGTGTCCTTAACTCCAAAATACGTTAGAAATCCGTAATAGTTCTCAAAATGGAATCAATGTACCTGAGGCGAATATTATATCTGTCTCATCAACATCTGATGTCTTGTATTTGATGAATCTTGGGCAAAAGAATCGTGCAGTTGGTGCCACGGCCATGAATGATCGGAGTAGCCGTTCCCATAGGTATCAACTAAAAAATCAGACTAGAACTTCTGTGGCATTTTACGTTATGATCACACTAAAAATTAGCGTTCTATTTAATGCTTTATTTAGTATTAACATCTTTAAGTTACTTATTTGCAGTTGCTTGACCGTTCACGTTCAAGGAAAGGACCTAACATCTGGAACCATACTTCGTGGTTGCATGCATCTGGTTGACCTGGCTGGAAGTGAAAGGGTTGACAAATCAGAGGCGACTGGAGACAGATTAAAGGAGGCCCAACACATCAATAAATCTCTCTCTGCCTTAGGGGATGTGATTGCTTCTCTTGCTCAAAAGAATTCACATGTTCCTTACAGAAATAGTAAACTTACACAACTGCTCCAAGATTCACTTGGTAAGAATGTACATTCTTGAGCTGACAAGTCTTTCAAACCGTATTTTCTAATCTGATCTCCTATGAGATTTATGTTATTGATTCTTCAATCTTTCAGGAGGACAAGCAAAGACCCTCATGTTTGTTCACATTAGCCCAGAGGTTGAAGCTACTGGAGAAACAATTAGCACACTGAAGTTTGCTGAACGGGTTTCAACCGTTGAGCTTGGTGCTGCTCGAGCTAACAAAGATAACGCAGATGCGAAAGAACTTAAAGACCAGGTCTTTTGCGTTTTCTTTTTCTTTTTTTTTTTTTTGCTCTGAAGACCAGGTTTTTAGCTTGATTTCACCTTTTTATCTTCAACAATGCTTTCTGTTCGTGTGTTTAAAATTTCATTTTTGTACTTTTATTTTCATAGATTGCCAGTCTTAAGGCAGCTTTGGTGAGGAAGGAGGGAGAAAGAGAGCATCTTCATCATTCTCGGTCTTCCAGCCCAGAGAGATTTAAAATGAAATCCGCCGGGTCTTCCCCTTCACACCCTCGTTGGAGAAGTCTGAAAGATTTATCAGGAGGGCGGAGGCAACCAATGGATGATGTTGGTAACATCGAGGTATGAACCAAATGCCATAACTGGCGTACCAAGTTAGAACAACAATTTAATTCACACTAGATTTTCAACTTGCCCAATTACAATTTTTTTTGTTTTGTTTTTTTTTTTTTTTTTTTTTTTTTATTTTGACAAATTTAATTTTTTTTTTTTTTTTTTTTTTTTTTTTTTTTTTTTTGATATTTGGACAAACCAATGTTTCAAATAGTTTTCTGTTGGTTGGTTAAATTTACCAACACAGAAACTAATATACAAGTTTGACTTCAAGTATATGTCTAATATTTGTAGGCTCAGAACTCTGCATTAAAACTAAAAAGAAGTTTGGATCCACAAGACATGTTAATGCATTCATCTTCGTGGCCATCTGCTGAGAGCACTCCCGGCCCAAATGGAAAGGAAGATGACAAGGAATCAGTTTCCAGTGATTGGGTT